ACCAAATGATATGACTTTTATTATGCATCAATTGTGTTTACATAATTATAATTAATTAACAAAAATATATCCTTCTTAAAACAAAAATGCTAAAAACTTGGTGAATTCCGCTGGAAAGACTGTCACCCATCCCAAGTATTGACAGAAAGAATCATTTCTAAAGAATTCATTCTAGCTCATCACTGCTGAAAAGGGAGAGGAGGTTGTGAGTACCAGCTAATGCTGGTAGAAACTCAAAAATAAAAAGCTCTGGTTATACTCTATCTTCTACTCTGCCCTGGGAACCAGGCACCTGGGTTACAGGGTTAAAAAAATCGTGACCGGGCTGGGAAGGTGTCTCAGTGGTAGAGTGCTTGCCTTGCATGCATGAGGCCCTGGGTTCGATTCCTCAGCACCACATAAGCAGAAAAAGCTGGAAGTGGGGCTTAGGCTCAAGTCGTAGAGCGCTAGTCTACAGCTGAAGAGCTGAGGGACAGCACCTAGGCCCAGAGTTCAGGTCCTATGACTGACAAAAAAAAAAAAAAATCGTGACCTTACATAATTCAAAAGTGGGTACTGCATAACCTTTAAGAACACATAAAATAACAAGAATATAAAATGTTCTGAAATCTTTGGGGCTAGGTGTGAGTGGCATGTACCTATAATTCTAGCTAGTTGGGAGGTAGAGAACAGGACCCTCAGCTCAGCACCTATATAGGTGTACCTTTCTAAGTACACCTATATGTACCTATTAACCCAGCTGGTCAAGAAACATAGAGAAGAAGACTGAGGTCCAGGTACACATTGAAAAAGCCAAAGACCCTATTAGAAAAATAATGAAATTTAAAGGGACTTGGGTCATGGACAGGAATCCAAACCCTAGTACTGAAGGAAAAAGTTAATGGAGCAGGGAGGTTATTAAATCAAACTGTATTGGCTCAAATGCTCAACATGGTTCTTGACCCTGGCAACATATTGCATACATTAAGCAGCCTCTTGTGGGGAAACCCATCCCTTGGCCCACACAGACACAGTTCACCAAACCCCATCATCCTCAGACCCAGAGCACCTAGTCTAAGAAAGATAAAATATGTGTGCTGGTCCTAAGGCATGGTCTCTAGGCCTGGGCACTGTCCCTGAGCTTTTTTGTCCAAGGCTAGTGCTCTACCACTTGAGCCACAGCTCCACTACCAGCTTCTCTGGTGCTTCACTGGAGATAAGGGTCTAATGGATTTTCCTGCCCAGACTGGCTTTGAACCATGATCCTCAGATCTCAGCCTCCTGAGTGGCTACATTACAGATGTGAGGAACCAACACCTGGTTAGAAGCATAAATTCTTTAAAAATGAAACGCATACAAACTACTGTAATAACAAAATGCCATATTTTTATAGTACCCTCGTTGTTATGTTTTCTATTTCTCTTTATATCTGATCCTATGGGAATTAGCTATTCCGTGCTCATTGTGTATTCTGTTTTGTGAAGTTTATGTGGGGTTCAGTGTTTGATTTTTCTGTCTGTGCACTCACTCTTGATACATTTTCCATGATGTAAATTGTTAGAAAGGAAATGGCTCAAAATATCAAACTATCATTCCTCTGACTTTTTCTTCTAAATTTTACTATACTTTTAAAGCCTATAGTTATCTGGCTATGCTGTCAGCTTCAAATTTCAAGTGTTTGAGAGTTGTTGTCTTCTTCCTTCCAGTGCTGCCAATTTGTTCTTTTCTTAAAATTTCATCATATCTTTTTCATATTTATGGCACACAGTATAAAATATGAAAGACCAATCAGTCAAGGCTTGACTATCTTCATGTTTTCACATGATAAGAAAATAAAGTGGGGGTGTAGAAAATGTAAAAACTAACAAGAAACTATATCTGTACATATGTATATATTTGGGATATAAATATCTATGCATCCATCATCCCCCCCCCAAACTTAAATTTGCCTCAAATACTAAATTCTTTAGGTAGAAACATTAAAGGCACTGTTAACAAATGACAACTCTCATGTGCTATAGCTCCATCAGAAAATAGCAATGGTGGATATAAGGTAAGACAGTAGCATACACTGACCTAAATTCAAAGACAACAGAGCCTGGCAAGACTAGAAAAAGGAGGCAACAGTTCTCAGCTCTAACACAAAAAGACTGGGAAGGACACAAAGCTTCCCCCACTCAAAGAATAATGTTTTATCCAACCGAATTTGCCTCTTAAATGTTAAACATTTTAAGGATTATTTGAATCTGAGAGTGAAAATAAAACACTAAGAAAACTTAAAAAGGAAGTGCCGATAGGATGTAATGATTGGCAGAGAGCTTTGAAGCTTGGGCCATTCACTCGTACGCAACGGAGATGACCCAGCACTTGTTGAGGGGTGTGGTGATAAGAAGGCACACCTCTGTGTGTACATGGGTACAGACCTTGAGCCATCACTTATTTACACCGTCTGGTCTTTCCTCCATTTTCTTTTTCCTCCATTTTGCTCACTGCCATTGGTTGATCTGAAGAGTGAGTCTCAAGACTGTACCACTTTAGCCACAGCTCTATTTCTGGCTTTGTATTGGGTAATTGGAGATAAGGGTCATGGATTTGCAGTTCAGGCTGGTTTTGAACTGTCATTCTCAGCTCTCAGCCTCCTAAATAGCTTGGATTACTGGTCTAAGTCACTAGTACCTAGCAATACATTCATTGGCTTTATAATAACAAAATCACTCTACACAAGCCAGGCACTGATGGCTCATGCCTGTAATCTAGCTACTCAGGAGACTAAGATCTGGGGATCAGAATTCAAAGCCAGTCGGGGCAGGAAAGGCTATGAGACTCTTATCTATAATTAACCACCTAAAAACTAGCAGCGGAGCGGAGGCTGAAAGTGGTAGAGAGCTAGCCTTGAGCGTAAAAGCTCAGGGACAGTGCCCAGGACCTGGTTCAAGCTCTCTGATTGAAAAATAGATAATTACCTCACTCCAGGACCAACCTGGAGAATATGACCCTATAGATTTTACTGCCTCCAACTCTTACCTAAATCAAAACAATGAAAGTGACATTTTTCGATTAAATGGGGATGCTGGTTGACCCATTGTGATGACGAGATCTACAGGACAGTATGTTGAAAATGAACTTTACAATGTCGGGGGAGAATGGGGAGGAGTTGGAGATGTGGGGAGGGAAGTGATGGTAGGGGGAAAACAAAGGAAGGGTTAACAATGCTTACTATGAAATGTACTCATTATCCTACTCATGTAACTGTAACCCCTCTGTACAATATTTTTATAATAAAATATATAATAAAAAAGAAAGTGATATTCATAGAGAATGACAGTCCAAAAGAGAGGTAATTTATTTATCTCTGTAATTTCTCTACATGTAAACCCTAGATCAAACCTGCATATCACTCATTAGACTGAATATTTGGACAACTTTGGAGGGTTTTGCTCTATTTCGGTTTTGACAAGTCCCTCTACTCTAATAACATTGCTTTTACTGAATTGAGCTTGGTTGTAAAGTCCTCTGTTATTGCTGTTGGTTTTATGGGCGTGATGTACTAAAGAAGTTGTATAAACCAGCATTTTAAAAGCCCCCTGGGAGATTTTCTCCAATCTTCAGTGCAAAGAAGAGTTTGACTCTCCTAAAGAAATGGCACAGTCTTATTTTTATGGACCATGTGAGTCTTAGGAATATCTAGTTTAATTTGATTGAAAGCACTAATTTTCATTTTAACTTTTTATCTCTTTCCATATAAAAATACAATAACAATAGTATAAAATATTCACAAGTAAAGTGAAATGCTTTTAGTTAATGACACGTTTTCTCTTTTTGCAGAGAGATAAACTAAAGTGTGGCCTCTGTTTTTTCCTCATTGAAAGAATCAAATCTCTAAAGATATTAAAGAGGCTAAGAAGGAAACATGAGACTATTTAGTAATAGAGTTTCCAGGGACTAATGAAATGACTTCAGTTTAACACTGGTTGATATAACGTTAACAGCTGTCTACCATTGGCCAGTGTGGATCCTCATGGTTTTCATGATCAATAATACCAAGGCTGGAAATGTCTGACAGTACTATAGACCTTCCCTTTGGCATCTATTTTTGTCCTGAGTCATCCAATACCAAGTTTTACCATCAACTCCCAGATTCCTCTACTATATTCAATCTGACAAAAAGAATGAAATAGGCTTAAAAAAAAAAAACAACTTGTAAACCTATTGGGGGGAGGAGGAATCAGATTTATAATCTAAAATACCAGATTATATTTTGACCATATTGCTTCTAGAAAGCCAAATTACATTTATCTATTATTTTATTTAGAATTAAATAATAATAGTAAGTCTTAGATATTAAACTTTAGAAAAAAATCTACCATATTAGAGAACTCTCTTACTACTCCTATAACAATTATCTATGAAATTTCTTATTTTCAAATATCCACTAGATATATGCACTGGTTATGAATGTTTGGTTATAAGAAAAATAAGTTCTGTGAAGTTGAGATATAAATTAGAAAAATAAATGTCTCTAAAAAGCTCACAGTAAACTAAATTATTTAAGACTCTGTTATATCAGATTGTAAATATCATTAAAAAGCTAAATAATAATTCATTACTCTAATGTCAAAATCAAAGTTACTGTATAAAACCCACAGATCAATATCCTTTTGAAATATTTATTCAAGAGTCTCTAACAATAGCACACAAATTCAATAGCAAATTATAGTATAGAATAGTATATTCTGACCAAATGGGATTTGCTCCTGGAATGCAAGGATGGTTCACCATGGAAAGTCAATCACTGTAACCACAGGTTGAAAAGGAAACATGGTCAACTCAATTAATGCAGGAAAAGAATTTGACAAATGCAATGTCCTCTCATGATCACAAGACAACAAACTAGAAGGAGGTTCTAGACCCCTACACAATCAAATATTGTTATACCTTGTTATACCCATAAATGTGATGTTTTTACATTAAAAATTGACATCAAGGAAAGTATGCTCATTAAAAATTCTGTGACTACTTACCTGCCAGAATTTTTTCCAGCTGTCTAAACCATATGTCACAGTGGTCTTCACTTAAATTGATAAGATCAAGTGTAGAATCCTTCAATTTATTTTGCTCCTTTTTCAAGCAGATGAAAAGTGTGATACCTAATAAAGTACCATTTCCCTGCTGCTTAACAAAACAACGTCGTTTCAGCTTTACAGAGAATATGTCCTTCAGTTCAATAAATTCTTCTTTGCACTTCAACTCACATTTGGAATCACCTGAAAAAGAAATTAGATTCTCCTCTCAAAACCCTTGTGTCCATATTTAAAATATATGGATAACAGAAAGGCAGAAATGCTTTTACATTTATAAACTTAAGGCTTGTCTTTACATTAGTTCCTTCAGGAAATGAGAATGGAAGAAAAGGAAAAATTAGGTCTACTTTCCCAAAAATGGTGGAAAAAAATCAGTTCCCTCCCATATAAAACCCATAACATTCAAATTCAGAATACTCAATGTTTGAAGAATTCCAAGAATACAAAGCCATATTTTAGTAATAATAAATCAATACCATGCAAGGAGCTTCTAATACTAGCAAAGTGAAGTGATATCACTGACAACAGTGCATTTATGACAGAGTGGTGAAGTCAACAGTAAAGGAGAAGAAATGCACAGGTGAAGCCCAAGTGAGGAAGCATATACACAAAGAAGACATTGATTGCTCTTTGGAGAAAACAGTATGAATTACTACATGGGAAAATCCCTTTTAATATTTATAGGTAGGACTTAAAAAGCAAAAATGGCATGGAATTTTAGCAGTAACCTTTAATCATGGGCGAAAAATTGTTGTTTCAACTAACATTAAAAATAGAAGTGTTTTCTACTTAAAAACAAAGGGCTTCACCAACTTCTGTTTCTGATCAACAGGGAATGATGGGCCAATTTTTTCTTCCCCTTTAAAGAACCACAATAGCACATGGACACATGAAGCAGCCACGCTGTGTGTGTGTGTGTGTGTGTGTGTGTGTGTGTGTGTGTGTGTGTGTGCCAACACTGCAATTTGAACTCAGGGCCTCACACTTTTGTTGGCTTTTTGACCAAAGGCTGATACACTTACATCACATCTCCTGGCTTTTTGCCACTTAACTGGAGATGAGTGACTCTTGAACTTTGATTTTGTCTGCTTTTGCTGACTTCAAAACAAGACCTTCAGATCTCAGCCTGCTGAGTAGCTAGGATAATAGACATGAGCCCCCACATCTGGCTCTGATTAATCTTTTGAAAAGAAAAAAAAGAGAGAAATACAATCTCATAATACAAATCAATATTCTTAGTTTAGAAGTTGACATAACCGTAAGTTAGAAAAGCTCTAAGTGAACACAAGGCAGATATGAAGAGACTAAGATACTTACCTAAATAACTACTATGTACTAAAGATCCATAAAGAGGCATCACTCACAAAGACCAAATACAAATATTTACCACATGACACATATAGTATAGAAACACTTTTCAAGGAAAAGTACATAAAAGACCCAAGCTGGCAGTTCACAAAAGAAGAAATGTAAATTGACCAGTGAGCATATGAAAAAGTTCAACCTAATTAGTAATCAAAGAAATGCAAATCAAAACAACAAGATACCACTTTTTGCCTTTTAGGTTGGCAAGAGATCAAAAATAAGGTTCAGTGATGGTATAGCTACAGGGAAGCAGCCCCTCGCTGGTGGAAGTACAGAAATGGTAGCCACTGGAGGACAAATGGAAATGAGTATCAAAAGGTTTCAAAATGTTAATTGCAGTGATACTTAGGATAGCAATAATATTTGAAGCAACACTAGTTTTCTTCAGTGGGAAAATGGATGAATAAATGATAGGGCTCCTCTATGTCTCTTCAGTGAACAAGTCTGTGAACTATTATTCTGCTCTGTAAATATACTCATGCTAAGAATGAGTATTAACTGCAATAATACCATGTTGCAAAGATATCTGGGGGATTTGATCCCACTTTTATTAAAAGAATATTAAGAAGAGAAAAAATAAAAACAAAGCAAAAAAGTATACAAAACCTTTAAGATACTAACCTATGAAAGGAGAGAGATGACTAGAGCGTATGGGATTTTTTTTCTTACAAGCCTTCATAACTTTTCCTTTCCAATAATCAGATAATCAGCACTACTACAAAATTATGTTTAATGTTGAAAAGAGAAAATGCATGGCTTTTATCCAACAATTTATATCAGTAATTTACCATAAGGGAATAAATAATATGTACAATTGAGCCAAAACAAAATTTACCCAAGCTTTTGCTCAAGGCTAGAGCTCTATCACTTGGGCTGCAGCTCTACTCTCAGCCTTTTTTTTATTGTTAATTGGAGGTAAGAATCTCAAGGACTTTACTGTCTGGGCTGGCTTTGAATCTTTATCCTCAGTTCTCAGTCTACCAAGTAGCTCGGATTACAGGTATGAGCCCCTGGTACCCAGCTTACCTAAGCATTATTTGGGTGAAATTTAGAAATAATCTAGACATCAAAATATGATGATTAATAAATATATATGCATCATTCACATATTGAGGACAAAAGAGAATATGCATAGGAGTGGTAGACAAAGGCTCAATAGCTATGAACAGGTGATCACATAAAATGAACTCCAAGAAAAGGAAACAAGAAACACTTTTAATGACCATTATTCCTGTTTTTGTTTTCTTCTCATTTTGTCTTGTTTGTTTGTATTTGGGAGGGGATGGGAAGGCCCATAAAAGGTGGAATAAGGATGAACAAATGCAGCAGTGGAGTCCAAGGGACACGACGTGAAAAACAAACTGTGTATATTGTGGATGGGACAGGAGGGAAAAACCAGAGAGAGCAAGGGAAAAGAAGACATGGCTCAAAAAGAACTGTACTCAACACTCTTCACTTAATTCATGTAACTGTAGCCCTTCTGTATATCGACTCTACAATAGCAATAAAACATTTGAAATTTACAAAATGAAAAATGTGAATTCTATATAACACATTTATTTTTATGATATAATGTTAGCACAATTATAACATGGTACTGAACAGAAAAGTGTCTAAAGTAGCACAATGCAATTCTACTATTGTGTTGTATATGTTTATTGAATAAATACTGTTGGTGTAATAAATTTTATACATATGTAAATATTCATGTGAGTACTAGGGATGATAATAAGATTGTAATTTTTCCCCTATGCATTTCTAATTTTTTTCTACAGTGAAGAAATTTGTGATTAACTGATATTAGCGTCTGATCATTGTTTCTGATCATTCTACTTGCTTTAATTTACAAGTTCCATCCGTTAAATATTTCATGATCATATTTTACATGCCAGACATTGCCCTAAGCATGTCACATTTAATCCTTACAAGAATCCTATGGAGTAGATGTGTTTCCCTAAAAGTTCAGTAACTCTCCACAGCTGTATCTGTGGTCGGGCAGTTGCAAGGTCTAAAGTACAGTACTCAAGCTGCTCTCTATCACAATTCCTCCACACGATTGAGCTGATACTAGGACTTGCTTCAAGGAAACGCAGTTGTCAACCCTCTCGTCATTACTGTGGTTGTTATTTATTGAGTATGAAGTTAAAACTGCATAGATTTTTAACTTAAATTATCAGTTGTCTCTTAGAATTCCATGCACCATTCCTTAATAAATCGGTCATGATCACTGTTCAGATATTTGCTATTTTTGTCTTTCTAGGACTTTGGATAAAATATCCATTTTTAAATGTCTGGTTTATTTCTTTCTATTTTAAGGCTTTTTGAGTTACCTGTATGTTCTACAAACATGTAATTAGGAACTGGGTAGTGCAGTTCCTAGAGCTTGCCTCGTATATCTGAAGCCCTGAGTTAGAACCTCAAAATCACAAAAATACACAGACACACACACACACACACACACACACACACACACACACACACACACACACAATAATTGCCTGCACTAACAAGAGTAAAAAAATTATCTGTATTACCATAAGACTAAAAATTAAGAAGTAGCTATTTTTGACAAATATGGGCTGTGCTTCTCCTTTAGAGCTTATGATTGCTCCACATTGACCATCCTCTACCCATTTGTGTTTTTCCCCAAAAACAGTTTTTATTACATCTTTATGAGCAGTGGACCAGCTGGCTCTGCTCTGCATGGCAGCAGAATACTATCTTCCAGACTTCAAGGAAGGCCAAAAGGGGAGACTCTCTGGTTTCTTGATGGAAAGCCCTCAGGCTAACCTCAGGAAAGGTCAAAGGTTCTGCATATTAGCTGAATGGATGAATTAGAAATTTAATGCCATTTTTTCTCCCTATCCCAAAATACAAAACACTCTTTGGACCCTCAGCATATACAAATACTAGGACAAACACTATTAAAGACTAGAGAAAAAAGACACCCTATGTTATGATGCCTACTGTTTAGAGTCTACAAAAAAAAATGACTACTTGTCTAAACCTTTTGTAAGATGACCTCAAGAATGACTCCGAATTATGTCTCTTTCCACATAAATCAGAAAAAAAGCTGCTTTTTATACACTATTTATCAAGGCTGGAAAACTGTCAGGTGTTACAACTCTGTTTCAACTCCCCCCTCCAGGACAGTTACCATCTCGGCCAACTCTTGTTGATGGCACTTTCTGCCACAAGATAAACAAATGCTCTCATAATTAGATACAAAACCACATTTCTGTGAATAACCTAATAGCCACCTCCCCACATCCATACTTACTTCAATGAATGCATTTTAAATATTACATTTAACTTCATGCTAAAACAAACCCTTGTTAAAAATAGAAAAGAAAGAAAGAAATCCATCTTTGATATCATCAGTTTAAAATGCATAACTCATCTGTAGAGTGTTCTCTGAAAGTTACCCAAGTTAAATCCCTGCAAAGGACATATAATAACTTTGCTTAGTGGCATGTGGCTCCTTACTTGAAATCTATCAGTTCCTTAGTGTTCTATTGGTGATACTAGCTGGTGCAGATCATTAACTGTCCTCTCACATTACTTACAGAGATACTGGGACCATCTGTTCTTGCAAGGGATTTAAGTACACGTCTATTGGATATTGGGCTATTTTTTAAATTCAGCACCCACTTCCTATTGTTGTATTTTGAGGGAGAAAAGTCAATTTAATTACAGGGAATAAAAATAACCTGTCCTGGCAGATTCCCCTATCACCATGAGAGCAAAGTAGGACCTGCTTAAAGTAGGTTGCAGTGGTTAATAAAGAGAGTAAAACCAAGAACTCTTAAGAATATTTA